TTATGCACACTGACATGTTTCTATTTTCATACACATGCACAATGCATTTGTGCATGTGTTTAAATATGGATATTACTAGTATCTTGAATGTACAGTACTATACACATACACACTTGTCTTATACATACTTTGTTATATATACACACAAAAAACACACACATACATATAGCTATTACTAGTAGCTTTGTGTGCATAGGTATTGATCTATACATACATATACAAACAAATAATAGATGCACACAATGACGTGCTGTTCAAACCTGGACGCACAAAATCATGTGTGGTCATCCAGACTATTTACATGAGTACAGGTTTGCAATGTCAGACCCTGAAGATACTACATTTTCAACTTGATTAATGATCGGTGCATAAATTAGAAAGTAATATGAAAAAGAATGCTGGACTGAAAATTTCAGCATATACTGTGTCAGTATCTGCGCAATGACATTTAGCTATTTAGGGTTTTAACCTTAGGTTTAAAACAATAGGAAAGGATGCATGTGCTTTTATACTTTATTTTTAGAAGCTTTGGATTTGGCAAAGGCTTTCTGTGTTAATATGCCCAAAGTAGTTTTGCAAGATGTAACTTTGATTTTCCCAGTACTTAAATATTTTATAGTGGCTTCCTACTCAAAGAAACATTTGTGAGCACTAAGCTTGTTAGGGTAAATGGATTCATTTTCCCTGTGTCCTGATTCAGATGGGGACCCGGAGGAGATTTTAAAATGGATTCGGTCACAAAATGACCAAAAATGTGGATTTTGATTATAGTGTTGTCTATTATTATTGTATGCGTATTATTGTCACCAATAAATCCAAGCAGAATTTAACGATCCCTTTTTGTTGGTGTACTTTTGGAAGTAAAAATGCAGAAAATGCTAATGAAAAAAGGACCACTCTTGCAGTTACAAAATTCTACTTTGGGATCTATCCTTCATAAACATGCCTAAGACACCGTCAGCATTGATATTAATTTCACAGAAATGTTCAGGGGTACAGAAGACCCAGCAAAAGATCTCTAGATTACGTAGTATGAAGGCCACCCAAACTGATTTACATTGCATGGTATTATGTGAAATAGAACTATAAAAAAGTTACAGACCAGATTCTAAGCTGATGTAAATGTGAGCTGCTCTATTTACTTCATTTGAGCTATTTTTATTTACACCATTTGAGAATTTGACACAAGATATATTTTTTTCTTTTGTCAGACCCCCAATGTAACATTTATCATCCCAGAATGAACATTAGCTGACTACCTCTGTGTATGTTACATTTGTCTTCCCACAATATTCTCTCTCATTCAAAAATCTTAGCTATATTTACATACGTTAACATTAGCTATTGGAGAATTTAATTTTAAGTTGTTTCCCTGAAAAAGTTAGTATATGTTCCAGTTGCATGTTTTCATTCCATTGCTCCAAGACAAAAAAGGAAACCTTGAATGTTCACTGAGTAACAGAGAGTTTTTTTGCCTTCATACAGTGGGTTAAATGTGAGCGTTTGCTAGACTCTTGTGAGCCAATTAATATTTATAATACATTATACATTGTTTATGTAAAAGAAGATTAATTTTAAGTTCTACCACAACGTTAACATTACATCATGCCATATATATTAATTATTGACTTGCCCCATTTTTATTATACACATATATATATGATGTCCTTTGTTAATTATTATATAATCAACAAAAGATTTTTCATGTGATCCTATAACTAAAAAAATACCAGGGACCTACCACTGTAAGAAAATGAGTGCCTTCAAATCACAGAGGGGCTGATAAATGATGAGAGTACTCAGCACCTCACAGGACTGAAGTTATAACTATCAAAGCAAAGTGATTTAGACTTTTATTTCTCATTTCTAGAGCTTCACAATGACTGTTACATTGACTGTTAAACCCACTCTAGCATGCATGCCTCAGACAAGTGTACCAGAACTCTTAATTAAAGGGCTTCATTTTTGCCACAAAAGGAGCTAGATTGTAATGGCATCTTTTGTCCCATGATTAATGAAGGATGAAATATTGTTTAAATAATTAGCAACACTGCTGGGATAGAATGCAAGTAATTAGCATAGCTTGACACCCAGAGCCACATATCAAAAACCAACTAGTTGCTGTTAGCATCAACAGTATGTTGATTTTAAAAAAAGAAAACCTTCATGGGAAAAAATGTCACAAAGTGTGGTTTGTGCTTTTTTAATAAGGAAGTTATCATTAGAAATTTAAGAATGAGTACAGCGATTCTAAAGAGTAATACACATTCATTTTTTCAAAAAATATTTGTACCACCACCATTTTTCTATCACAGTATTTTCTCAACTATCAGTTTGATCCACTTCTTTTAATTGATGTTGTAGTTTATTATCTTCTACATGGCCATGTAGATGAACAGTACTATATAAAAACTCAAGATCAAGATCTTTCGATTGTGTTGGCATTGCCCTTAATGAAGGTGGAGACTGCAAATAAAGAGTAGATTTGGAACTTGTGCTTGTCTGACAGTATGGGCCAGATCTTCAGCTGATGTAAATCCACATCACTCCCTTTATTGTAATGGGATGATGCCGATTTACATGCTGTAGATCTCACTCTAAGATTTTAGCACATAAAATATTTTCAGCCTCTTGAAGAAGAAGGGTAGAGAGAGAAGGGATGGGGCCCAGTTTTCAAATAGGGTTGCTCAGGGTCGATCCTAACCAACTGGCGGCGGCCCCTTGAAAATGGCAGCCCCGGGAGTCCGCCCAGCTCACCTGCCCCTAAGAACAGTTCTGGGCTTGCTTATAGCCAGACAATAGAGCTTTGATCTGGAAAGAAACTACCTGGCCTACAACCCTTCTTTTCAGAGTGTACTGCAGCATATGGAGGAGGAAAGCTGGGATTATATGAAGGAAATGGTAGCTTGAAGCAGATACCAAATAGTCTTCATAGAGGCTTGTTATCTGACAGAACTAACCGTGGGAAGAGATCAACTATCTGACAGGACTGATATGGCCAAGAAAATATGTATCTTGCTACCTTGGACACAAAATGCCAAAACATTGTCATACAATATGTAAAGAGATAATTTTAGCGCAAGAAATTTAGAAGGAATTTAATCAATGATTTGCATTGTCATTAAAGCAAAAATCTCAGAGGAGTAGCCATCTTAGTCTGTAACTTTAAAAACAATGAGTGGTCCTCTGGCACCGCAGAGACTAACCAAAATATATACAATTATGAGCTTTCATGGGCAAAATCCACTACCCTCAGGACCACTCGTGTTATTAAAGCAAAATGGCATCATCTTATATTGCTCTTCTCTACACAATGTATTCATGTTTACAACCAGAGCTAGCAGAAAACTTAAGCACATTAGAAACTAGCATGGCTATTGATATTAACTCAAAGCTATAAAGGAAAGAGACAACTGTTTTTAAAATGCTGCAGTTAGGCTTACAACGTCTAAATAAAATGCTAGATCTTTCCTAATTGCTTATGTTGAGAGCCTCAAAAACATACTTACCCAATATTTAATTATCGCAGATATTTCACGTTAAATAGTGCATTCTTACCAATATAAATAAATGAATGAATGATGATGATAATAATGTAACACTTCTAAATAGTCTACCAAATACTAACATTTCATTAAGCCTATTACTAGTTTTTTTCTATCCCTGTTATTTAATACTAAAGGTAAAATCATATCAATCATGACCAAAAACCTTATATTTATCAAAGAATAAAACTGTGTAATTTATGTAAAAATAACCATATTTCATTATTAAACAAGAAATTCATTAACATTTTCAAAGGAAGCTGTTATTTTCAGCTAGATTGTCTTCCCATTAGTATTCACTGTTTTAATATAATGTGATTTTTATATTTACTCATATGTACACACACACACACGCACACAATAATGCATGTTATTAGCATAACTTTTGAGATATGATCTCAAGATAATTCAACCTATTCACTTGGTTTCTTACCATTATAATCATTGCATAAAGAAGAATGATCTTTTTACCTTCCTACTCATGATCTTTCAATTGTAGTCTTCCTTTGAAAGCTGCATTTCCCTAAGGAATGGGGAGGGGGGGGAAGGGAGCGAGAGGGGGAGGGTTTCCAAGGTTCTTTCTTATTAATGTTCTACAGCATTATGCAAATCTTGGAACTAAAAGATCCTGAGCTCAAAGAGGCATACTACTTCTCAACTTAGTTACCACTACCTGAGTTGGAGTTTTGTTAAATTAATTCCATGGTGAAACTGGAGAACATCCAGAGAATGTGTGTTAGCAATTCCGGCACTACACTGAAGACGTTCAGCAATGAAACACAGGACTGTCAGAACAGCATTGCTACCTGATAGGATAGATGCCATTTCCCTATGAAAGTGAAAGAGAATCATATAACCATAGAAATGTCACAGATAGCTCTGAAACAATTTCATGTTTGTTTTCATTTCTATGTCAGCATGGGCAAATGCTGCTGCTGCAAGAGTGGAGTTAGAATTCAGTTCCCCAGACTGGCGAAGCAAGTGGAGCCCTTAAGGCAGCTCTTACAAATGCATCCCCTTCTTAGTACTGATAGAGGGATTTCAAGTGGTAAGCAACTGCATTAGAAATCATCATCATCATCAGAATATTCAAAGAATGTCTGAAATTTCAATCACTGTCCACTAATATGTATACCCATACATACATCCTTGTATGTACAGCAGTCAACATTAAAAACTTACAAGTTACTATGGATAATGTTTTAAGAAACTAAACAAAGTTTACTTTAGTATTTGTAGTGTATCTGATATTCCCTAGGGTAAATATAGGGAAGTTTAGATAATCCTGAGAACTTTATCTAAGACAAATTAATTGATACCTTTTCAAGAATAGATATATGTATATTATATGCTTACAAAGACATGTGAGAAAACATATTTCCCCAGCATGCAACTAAACAGTCATTACACTTCCTTTCACACCCCACTTGCAAGGGATGAGTAGGTAAAACTAACCTTCAATTTGTCATAGCGGTCACTCAAAGCTGCCACCTGATGATCACGATGCCGTCCAACCAGTTTACACAAGGCACAAATTAACTGGTCATCAGTCACGCAATACATGTTAACTTTCTCGTCTTCATGCTCCAGACACATTAATCCTCGGATGTGAGAGTCCGGAATGGGCTCTATCAAACGGTGGCCCGTGAACGGCTTCTTGTTCGGGTGAGTCGCTTTGAGGCACTCCTCGCAGTAGGATACCTCACAAGTGACACACGTCTTCACTGCTTCCTGGGCAGGGTCCTGGTCACAGAACTGGCACAGAACTTTTTCACTGGATGACATGCTGTTGCTATCAAATGCCCGCTCTCGGCGGGTTTCGCTAGGAGAATTGGGCCCACTCACTGAAGCTTTCTGAAATCTGTCGATAATGTTCTGCAGAGTGACGTTGCGCTTCAATCCGTCTAGACCACGTTGATTGAGAGTGATGACATAACGACAAGTAGGGCACTGGAAGGCAGTGATGGATTCCACTGATTCGTTGGTGGCACAGTGGGAGACTAATATGCGATGCGCACAGTTGAAACAGAGGCTGTGAGCACAAGGCAGCAGCAGTGGGTCTTCAAACAGCTCCAGACAGATAGGGCAGGTCAATTCCGACTCCAGTGTTTCCATCTTCAAGCAAAGCTTTCCTGTGTCGTCAGCGAAATCCAGGGAAGCTGATCAGCTATCTGGAAACATAACACAAAATTTGATTAGGCGAGAGAGAGCAAGAGGGGTCAGCCACGGGGGGTTGTCAACTTTCGCCACTGGTACTATCAAACCACTACAGCAGACTGGAGAGCTTTCTAAAGTTTTAAATCTGCATAGGCACAACATCAAGGTATTTAAAATTATACTATTTTGTATTTTAAAAAACACAAAAATCCTTTTTGTCAGCTTTCTCTATCTTTAGTATGAGACTGAGGGCAACAGCAGATGTTTTCTGATGCTTTTGCATTATTTAAAGCCAAAATTAAGACCTTCAAAAGAG